CTCCGAGAAAGGAAGGGAGACCGAGATCCGCTTTTAGCGAATTACATCCCCTGTCAGGCGCATCTGCCGCATGAGGCAGGCCGCAATTAGGTTGCGTCTAACGCGCCCATAAATAGCCCGTGCAAGGACAGCTCGATTTTTATTTATTCACGAGGGGCTGCTTTTACAAGCGTCGCGGCCGGGCGTCGAGCGCAGACTGCCGCCTTCGCGGTCAGCGCTCTTTGCGGGAAAGAACGGAACTTGCTGCAAATTCTCAGAAGCTGCAAAAGTGGGACCTTTTTTCCCTCCAAAAATCACCCGACGTTAACCGATTTTTGATCGAATATTTTATTTTTCTTGATAAAACTATTTTACTTCATTTAAATAAAATATTAACTAAATATATTCTAATCATAAAACAGTTCCTCTTCAAATTTTAGACATTCAGATTTATTCAAACTTCTACTAATTATGATTTCAAAAAAACATTTCACGTTAGCGTGACGTTTCGCTACTACCTTGTAGCCAACCTGTCTTCATATATCTGGTATAAAGAAAAAATATGCACATTTTTCAAAATTGTATTATACAGTCAAAACATAAGTTCCCCTTCACAACAGTGGATAACAATAAGAATGATTTTAAGTTACAGTAAACTACCAAAAGGTTTGTATTGCGTTTTCATTTGTATTACGTTTTATACATATTTTTAGAAGTTGACAGAAGCTTTCCTTGTAATAAATTGAGTTGGAATATAAATTATAACTAGTCTACACTATTTACAAAACCTTATAAACACTGTGAGAGTGAGTATTTTATTCCGCTCAATTCTGTTAACAGTCTGTGAGAACTGGAGACGTTTAGGGCTAGTACGTATTGCAATCTAAAGGTCTGAGTACTACATGATGAGTTTCCCCAGAATTGTATACCATATCTCAGAAGGGAATGTACATTTGCAAAATACACGCAACGAGCTGCATGAAGGCTGACAGAATTTGAAAGAATTCTGAATGCATAACATAATTAATTTAATTTAGTGTTTAATTTTGTTATATATACATTCCATTTGAGGAATTGTATTTCAACCGTCAAGGAGGGGAGGCAACTATTGAATACAGTTCCTTCACTGGAATTTACGACAATTTGCTTTTACATTTTAAAAATAAAAATTAAGTCTTTCTTTCTTATCGGTTCCCCGCTTCCTTGACGATTGAAATACAATACTTGCTCGTAACCGACTCCAGTTTTCACAAAGACTGTAAACACAATTAAGCAGACGAAATGCACACTCTTCTGGAACTCCAGAAAACGTGCGCAGATAATCTTTTTCTCCCTACGCCACATACAGTTTTTACTGTTTTTTTACTGAATAAATCTAAATCACTCTCACAGTGATAATATGGTTTTGTAAATGAAGTTTAGAAAAACCGCACTTTGTCTTACTAAGTGTTTGTAATTATTTTACTTGCATTTCTCGCTTTTTTGCACTTGCCTTTGGGCTCATGGTTTCGTACATGCTACTGAAATCTTGTTAGTTCCCTCTCTAAACAAAGATGGCTTGAGTTAGAGAGAAAATTGAAGAAAATGTTCTTTTGTAACACCAAGCACTTTAAGTTCGATTCACTGACCCATCTCCAACAAGAACTGAAATTGATTTTCCATGATTTTTTATTTGTCATTCTTTAGGCTGTTTCCGGCAACTCGCGTATTTACCGCCACGGAGCACACAATATCTCAGTAGTATTTCTTACTTAAGGTGTTCTCCGACAAAGCGAATATGGGACCTGAACAGGGCAACAATTTTCGAAGGATTTAATTGTACCGTACATTTAGTCATGATTCTTTTACATCACAAAAAAAACACTATACTTCTGGCCTAAAATCCAAACAGATAAACTTGGATCGTCGGGTATACCTTTCGTATGTATCTTTTCTTCAAAATTAAGATATTCATCTCTCTTTTATCTTATATGTATATTTCACAGTTTATATGTATATTTCACAGTACAAAAACGTATTAGCACTGAAAGATCTAAAGACAGTGCATAAATTCGTGGCGAAATTTTATTTTACAACAACCCCATCATTCTGAAAAATTAATTACTCATACTTTGAAAAAAACTAAGATAAACGTAAGTTTCAAAAATACTCACCTGGTTTTTTTGACTCACCTTTCACATCAGCATTAATTCCTGCATGTTGAACATTTGAGGGTGGTGAGAACTGATGGAAACCGATTGAAAAAATGCACATTTTCCAATAGTTCGTCAGTTTCACAAAATACATTATCGGTTACCCAGTGTTTCATCAACGTCCCCAATAATGCACTAAGATTAATTACACTTAAAATGTAAGCACGTACAACACAAAACCAATTACTCCTTTCTTCTTTAGAAGTTAATACTTCCGTAACGACAATTTCACTCAGTTCCTTCTTGCGCCCAATCTCAGAAAACTTCAAATGAGAATAGAGTTTGCAACGAACATCTTCTGATATTAAATTAAAGATTTGAATCTAAAAAATGTTTACTATTCACTTTTATGCAGGTGTATGGTCTGCAAAAAGAACGTGACCAAAATGAAATAAATCACACATTGTTTTCTCTTGTATGTTATTTGCATCTTATTTTTGCTTGCGCGTTTCTCAGAGTGTGCCTGTAATTAAAATGAAAACGTAACTACAATTGAATAGTGCCATTTAACTACTCCGCATATAGCATGGAAATTTGATTATAAACTTATGGATTAGTTATGTAATTCAGTGACAATATTCATGAACTTCTGAACAAGCTGAAAAACTGTACATATTGGCGAAAAATATTGAAAACAAATACTTGAGAGTACTGCAGTTAAATTTGTAAACCAAACGGCTATATTTTAATTTAATAAAACACGCCTTGCCTTCCATTGTTGAAGAAAACATTATCCTCCAAGAAACGCTTATTCAGCTCAATGTAATTTTTATTCGTCCAAACACACGGTTTCAAAGAATGGTTTTCTAGCCCTCCAAGTTGTTTTTCCTGAAAAAGGATATACAGATTCATAGGAAGGAATGCCACTTGTCATTGTGTAGCGAGTATCCAATTGTTCCGTAGAATGTTGAGAGCATCGTATTAACCTGATGAAAGGAAATACTTTCTAATGAAAATGCCAGTTTGCTATTCGATAACTGGTGAAGTGCAAACCTGTTTTCCATTAGTGCAATAAGTCATATAACCTGAGTTTTATTTTAGATCGATGGTTATTTTTATTGCTTATTAAAATAATTAAAAATATTTTAAAACACATCTATTATTTTTGGTTACATGTGAAGTACAAGTACTTCAATACTAAGATTTCTCCAGATATTTTGGAGAGGTGGGTCACACAAAAAAATGTTTTCTCAATATCTGCAAGATGCACTGTTGTAATAAAAAGTAATGACTAATACTTAAACAATCTGCTTTGTTTTAACAGCAATGAAAGTTAAAAAAGCATACATGAAACGATGATATAATGATGGGTATAAAATCACACGCGTCAAGTGATATTACGATACTAGCGACTATCGTAAATTTCATACGAGTGTATTAATGAGATACGCACAATTATCCTTGACCGATAGCCAACGTTCCCCCACCCTTGCGCAATAAACAGTTGACGGAAAATACTCGCAGCAACACTGATGTCAAAATTGCAAACACATCCTAAATGGCGCAAAATAAAAAAAATATTGGCTGTTGAAGGCGAAAACTTCTCTTCGTGCTTCTCTCCAAAATATCTCAAACGTAGCCCAAAAAAGCCCAGAGCCAGCACAGGAGATGCCTCGAACTCCTGAGAAAGTTTGAACGCAAATCACTGAAGAATTTGCGAACATAGTTGCCAGATGTCCACTCTTTGATCGGAGAGTCCGATTTTTTTACGTTATATTCACTACTTGTTTTTCACGAAATAGAGGCCAGTTTTTATTCAAAAGCATTATAATGAAATGATACGTAATCTAAAGCTGTACAGTCTACGAGAATAAGAATAGGAGAATCGCGTTTTTTTTTTCGTAAGTTAGAATGAGACAGAGTTCGAATACCAATGAACTCGATTCTCCGAAAAAAAGTATTAAACATACTGAATTGTTTCTCAAGAGATTTAATAAAAGTATATAAAATTATTTACATACTATTTTTCTCAATTCGCATTTACCTATTATTTTTGTGTTATACTTTTTTCTTAGTGGGATATATAATATATGTTATTTATATTATGTCCATAACATATTGTTTTGATACACCCAATTTGTCATTTTCTATTCGAGTTCTAGTCTCAATATGTGAAACGGGAATTTGTCAAACTAAAGATTCCTACGAAGCATTATAAACATAAAAGATAATTATTGTTTTTATGTATATACTATTTTTCTTTGTTCAAATTAAATCACTCTGAATCACTGTGTAAGTAACATTAAGGCTAAATGCACCGAAAATACTTGTAGGAAAATTCAATAGATCGCAGCACTATCACAGGGAAATTTACTGATAACGTCTGACATTTTCTATTCGAGTTCTAGTCTCAATATGTGAACAACGCGAATTTGTTCAAACTAAAGTATACGCTGTAGGTACGAAGCATACTATAAACTAAAAGTAATTATTATTTTATATGTTATATCACTATTTTCCTTTGTTCAAATTAAATTACTCGAAATCACTGGGTAAGTAACATTAAGGCTAAATGCCACCGCAAAATACTTGTAGGAAAATTCAAAGATGCAGCACTACACAGGGAAATTTATCTGATAACGTCTGAATCAATGGTCCGATTTTGATTGAAACGGCATTTGAGCGCCTTTTATAAATAGAATTTACGCTACGATTGTCCTTTTTCCAAAAAATCTAGCAAAACTCGAATTTTGAAATTAGCTTCTCAACTTCCGAGAACAAATTTAAAAAATGTGGCCTTTATAGCGTCGATGGCGACCATGCTTCTCTGAATCCAACGCCGTGACAATCATGCAAATCGGACGAATAGGAGCGCGTAAAGTGAATTTACACCTCGACCCCCCCACTACCCCTTCTGCGCCGATTTGCGTCACCACCCGCCCTGTTGTTGGGCCCTCTGTCAGCGCGGTGCACGGCCAGTGCCCGGCTGTCGATGCGCCAAGCCCCGACGGAGGAGGACGGTACTTGCTGGGACACGCAAGCCACACACTCGGTTTATGGCGTTCGCCACTTGCATCTCGAATCTATTTTCCACGCATATCAAACTAGAGATTCTATTTACACTATATACAGCCCCGAGGGTAAACGGTCTGTAATTAGTAGTACATAAACTACCTTTTCACATATTTCCGTCTTCCTTCGAATACCATTTTAAAAATTTTTGATGCATTATCTCAAAATTATTGATTTCCGATTTTAACTATTTTTTAAAAAAAAGAAACTAATTGTGTACATGATCCGCATTATTTCCATATCCCACATCTTATTTTATGAATATGTTTTACTTCTAAGGTATTCTGTTATCACTCATCCTTGGTCTAAGAACCTTGCCGTGTAAATCCGTAAATAAATGAGCGAGTATACGCACGAGTTTCTTCTATGATCTACAACCTCGATTTTGATCTCAAAACGACTTTATATGCTTTAAAAGTTCATCTGGTGAAATTCTCTTTTCCCAAGTAAATAGTTCGAAGCTAATTTTTGAAAACGTTTTCGTACTTTCGGACAAAAATAAAAAAAGCATTATAACTTGGCTGTCCGGGTGACGTCGCGTCAAAGGGCTGTTTTCCCGACGTTTCGACCATTTTGTCGTTGGTCTTCCCACAGGGTTGGGTATGCCCATACATAAGATGGTAATGGGATATGGTTAAAGACCAGCGACCAAGATGTGAAACGTCGGCCAACAATCTTCGACGCGGCGTTCAACCGGACAGCCAAGATTCATGCACAATGACGTCTGCGCGAGGAAAACCTACGACTTCAAATTTTAAAAAAGTGGTAAAAATAGCGGCATCTGCGCGAGCTGTATCCTGACTCCAAACGCCATCGTAACATTCAAACGAAGTTTTAAAAACGAAGGAAATCTTTTTCTGTGAGATATGATTCTTATGATATGCTTTACCACCTATACGCTTACGCGACCGTAATGCAATCTACACAACATTCCAGAAGTAGATAGAAGTATGAGGTTTCTTTCAATGTGAATTTGTTTTGAAAAATCTTAAATGTAATAGCTTACTTATGTAACAACATTTTTTAAAAATATTTTTCTTCTTTTTCCGAGGAGATTTTGCGCATTGACCTGAATCACCACGGTATTCATTGCAATTGGTTGTTATTTGCACGAATCTCGGCTGTCTCCTTTCTTTTGCGTAATGGAATAATTATAGTGCGTTGCAAATCTGTTGCTTCACTGTTTTATTTTGCAGTCACATTGCGTAATTGTGGTTAGTTTCGCCGAATGATTTCTTGCCCATGTATCTTTGAATAGTTTGATTGGAATATTATCTACAGCCGGCGCGACTTCCCATTTTCAGTTGTTTTGTTCGCCCAATTAATTCCTT